TAAAGACGGCCTCTATAAAGCATAGCTTCCAAGAATCTAAGAATTTACCAGACTCAATAGAGGCATTGAAGAGGATAGCGATCGGTTTTAACACATTCGTTAAGCAGCCAATTAAAAATACCGCAGGAAAGTTATTGCTCGGTGATGGAAAAAGAGCTGATTAGATCCGCAATGTATGAGTCTGCAATGTATGCTGAAGCAGGTGGGTGGTCATCATAAACTTTTTGAAATAATAACGCAAAAAGATCGCACGACTCTTGAGTTGAATTAGAGAAAACCATCATATACCACCATTGTCGCAAAGCCCTTGGGGTTTCTTTTCGAATTCATAAAATGCCAAAATGCTGACGGGTGAGCTAAGTTCCGAGTTTACTTATTGCATCAAAGTACCTTTTGTAAAGTAAAGAGAGGGCGAAGAGTGGGCACATAGATTATCAAAACTGTAAAGTTCAAATGTAATGGTTAAAGCATTGTGATGAATGCTATTTTGAGAAATCGGTGCCAGGTTCAATTCACAGTTAGATCTAAGATCAGTACTAGCAAATATAAGATCAAGTAGTTTTATCATTATCGTTATTATAATAGCTACATATTTTACATATTTCCAGTGATACCGCTTGTTATGTAATCAATGTTATTTATGTGATGCTCGTAAATTAAGAAGCTAGAATTAGCTGGAAGATACGATAGGATAAGGAAAACAGTTTTATTTCTATTAAAAGTGACTTCCGCACATATTTGCTCAATTATATTGTCAGAAATAGGCAATGCTACAATTTTGCTTTGCATATTTGACCCTACCGCTAAAATAACTCCACCCAGACGTTGCGTTGGCAACCACTAGCTGTGGGACATCTTTACGGTATATCGAGTAGTAATTATCGAGGTATTATGCGCTTGCAATGTCTCCATGTAACCAAGTTTCGGTTAAGAATCGGCAAAGAAATCGTAATCACGCAATGTGCTTGCCAATCTAAAATCATTTACTTTAGTTCGCATACCGCTTATATTTTGATAATAAATAGAATATAAGTTAAAGCTTTGAGAAACGCTTGAACGACTCAATTCTTCTAGTTTTCCCCCTTGATTTTCTAACAAACGGAACGGCCCAATTTTAACGTCCGTCGGCCATAGGAAGGGATCTAATACCTTTGTTTATAAACTGGGGGGTACCCCTAAGTCTTCTGGTTTTGCTTATTTTTTTTTTATAAGTTTGTTATAAGTTTGGTTGCTAACATAAGCAATTATACTCTCCGTATTGGCAGTCGATTTAAATGAAGAGAGGTGTACCGATTCTTTACTTAATACTGCATCTCATTCGCTATTGTTATTTCGGCCAACAATAACACTCGAAGGTCTCGTTTTCTTTGCCTTTTTGTTTTGCATGGTCAACCATTTATGTATCTACCGTAGTTGCAGGTATGTTAGAGTTGGTAGGTGAAGCGGGAGTAGCATAAATCGTTGGTGTTATTTTGGTTGTTGTGGTATATTGCTATTTACAATATTTTTATGTGTAGCGGAAGCACCGTTTGTTTACAAAGGGAGAGATACCATATCAAGGTTTTTTGCGTTCAATCCGGCTATAAGCTTAAAATTCCGGCGTGAACCCCGAAAGTTACAATGCCTGAGCAGCTTAGTGTGTAGCTCTATATCAGTTGTTTAATACTGGTGTTATTTATAATTCTTAGTCTCACGGGATGAACTACTAATGCAAACATATACACGTCTTGTATGACATTCAATATAGGACAACTCGTCTAACTCGTCTCCATCTGGCCAGACTTTCCTTTGGCGCCCTTATTGACACAATTTAATATATACTTTTATGTACCTTACATTTTCATTCAACAGCACATTCCAAACCTTCTAAATACAACTTTTATTTATTTTTCGGATAACTTTAGACCACGTGAACCGGTTACGGTAAATCTTTTCTATTTTAACCGGAAAGCTGGTACCTCAACGATGGTCCCATACTAATTTGGTTTAATTCCGATCTTTCGATCATGAAGAAGTTAACGGTACTCCTAAATTTTTATATGAGCATAGAAGTCGGTGGTCTTTTTAACTTAAAAATTACCTTTTATAAAACTATCAATTCCTTAAACTTTTTTGCTGCTAGTCAACGTTTCAATTTTCTAAGTGATATTCCACAATAAACAATCCGTTTTCAGAAAACATGGATTTAACAGCGCAAGTCCAAGAATTGACAAAAGAGATAAGGGAGATGCGCGCCGATATACAAGAAATCAAAGGTAAATTAAATGCAAATTTGTATATGTAAAAAGTAATTTACGAATCATAGAATTTCTAGCACAGCCCATAACTTAAATTGAAGAAAATAACGCGCATATATTCAGTTTTCACGAATCGAAAACAAAGATGTGCTTCAATAATTTCAATCCGAAGTTTCACAAATATAATTTATAATCATGATTCATCATAATTTATAACACACTTTGTCAACGTTACTAGAAATTCTATGGATCTCTAATTGTCAGTAACATTCTACATGTAGTTTATATTATTTCTCAAATTTATAAAGATTTAATGGGCCGGAATAATGAAGTTATAGACGAGCTAATGAAAGGACATCAACAAATGATTAGACGTGTGGTGAAACAAGAAAAAGATGATGAGGAAGAAAGGAATATAATAAGGCCGGTATTTCCACTGGCGACCCAGGAAGATTTAGACAATGCCGAAAGTTTTATTGGAATGGACGAAAGGAAAAAAGATGAAATGGTAAACTTTTGTAAATTAAAATATGGAAGGTTTGAAAATGGCTGCTTAAGATGTTGACATTGATTACCAAAAATGTATAATAGTCCCAAACTTGGTAAGCAATACCAAGAAGAAAGGATTGAATTTTTAATACTTGAACATATCGCTCATATATGTATGTACATATGTACGAGAAAAGTGGCATAACTCAAAAATCAATGTCTTTGTTCACGCTTGCCTGGTTATCAGGTTATCCGGTTAAAAATAATTTTTCTGCAGGAGCCGAGTGTGAACTTTTAAAATTGCTCAAAATATACAGAAAAAATATATGAATATTATCTTCTAACGCGAAAACTACACAAGAACTTAGCACGAAATTTTTACGCAATATGACACATGATCAAATGAGTAATTTTGCATCATTTGATTACCGAAAAAGGTTCCCTTCTCTTTGCCCTCTACGCACAAATACTAGAAAGAAAGCATACAATTTATTTATTTTTGAGTAATGACGATCTTAGTAAATTAGCGATATGTAGTTTAAAAGTTAAAGAAAGGCATTTTATATATCTACTCGAAAACTTCATACTGCGCCATAATAGGCGTTAAATTAATAACATACTCTTTTTTCAAATTTGCATTTTTGTAATGTTTCTAAATCTTGGCGAAAAAGAGAATACAGCTAAAGCCAGAGCGTTTACTTTCGAATGTATAAAGTAGTGTAAAAATGATAATTTTAACGCCGAAAACTCTACCAATATTCAGATCAAGTCTCATCTAAAAATGGAGCATTAAAGTAAATTCAGACTAGCGACTTTGGCTGTTATTCAGAAATTTTTCTATAATATTTTTAAAATATCCACTTCATGGACATATTATGAGCGGATAGTGTCATAACTTAAAAAAGCAAAACTCGAGAAAAATGGCTTTAAAGTTTTTAATTTATGTACCCATAAAAAAATGAATACATATTTTTTCAAGTGAGATACTGGTAATCAATACAGATAAGAAATTTTTACACAGCATAGAAGATGTCTGCATAATTAAATCAATATTTGCATTTTTGGATTATATCACTATTGAGGTAAACGAGCGATATGTAACGTCAGTAGTCTTATATGAACCAACCAAAATGGGTTGTTCATCATATAATCCAGTGATCTTAGATATTACGAAAATATGTAAGTTTTGGAACACGCAGCCTATTTCTCAAATTTCCATTATATTCTTTTTTTTTTTAATTTTACATTTTCTATATGTGACCTGGTCTACGGAAAGGGGGCTTAGGAGTCAAAAAATCAATTTTCACTTTTTGGTTGATTCGGATGGAAGATGAGATGATTTTCACTTTTAACAGCTTTTTCACAGAAAACTTTTTCGCACGTAAGCTCCCTTTTCGTAGACCAGGTCACATATATGTATGTACATATATTTTATTATCCCATTTCAGACACGGTTTCTCAAACCTCTATTGATGCCTATTGGTCTCAAACAAAGATTAGTATATGTTCTATCAGAAGATATAATTTTGAACTATAATCTTGAAGGTACACATGGTAAAAAGCGCATGTTATTGTATCCAAAGCTAATGAGTGTGCTATACAGTAAGTAAAAATTAACAAAGAATTTTTATGTATAACAAAAAAAACTTCCTATTATCGAGCGAGAACTAAAATTAAATAAAGGCGGATTCATCGTTCTAGTTCTTAACTTTGCTTCCATGTGGTTGGTGTTGCGTTTCTCTCCTAGAAACAGCGATGAATCCGCCTTAAGGTTTTGCGTGCAAAGAAATGATTAACTGCCAATTGCTGAGTACATCGTAGATTCGATTTCCGTGCAATAGGAAGTTCAACTTATTGATATATTTTTTTATTTGAAAGTCCAAGAAATACACTTCAGTCATTCATGGCTTCCTGGCCTCTACAACAACAACAACAAAACGGCTTCCTGGTTAATTGTCCATTTAAGGGATTTTAGAGAAAAAATAATGAGCTTATCAAAAAATGTTGTTTACTGTTAAGATGAGTGATCAAGATGAAATTAAAAGTTGCGTTCCTTATCTCCCAGAAATAGTCAACAATAGTCCGAAATAGTCAGATTTAGTACAAAAGCGTGTCTTAACTTGAAAATATTAGAAGAAATGAGAGAGCAACTGTGACTCTCTTCAGTCCGAAGTTACAAGATTTTGTCCCAAGAATTTTTGCAGGCAAAATCTTGAAAACTCAACTGAATTTAAATTAACGGCTATTAAAGAATACACGAATAGTGAGAATAATCTAAAAACTAAAAAAAAGTTAATTGAAAATGGAAGGAAGCAAAAAAAAAATGTATATAGTAGGTATGCGTTTGTTATGCGCGAGCGCATTTTCCTTACGCTCTTGCATTTTGACACTTTTTAGATTTTAGTCAGAAAAGATAAGGAATGGACCTATAGAATACATGATAGCGCCTTCCCGGTGGTGATGACATTTCTCAAGTAAAAATAAGGAGTAGGAGGATAATATAAACTGTCAGATTAGTCAATTATCTTAATATTCAATTTATGTAAATTGAAATTGTAAAAATACATATATGATTTATAAAAAGAATTAATAAGAAAAATTAAAAAAAAAACGTTACTTTTGTAAAAGTATAAGTGAATTTGAGGGAATTTGAAGCAGGGCTTGAACAACTTTCAGCACAGCGGCAACAGCACTACTTATTTTTTGTTTGCTTCGATTTGAAATTTTTGATTTTAGTTCCAACTGCTTTGCCTTTGCTTTTTTATAACCAGTTTATTGAAAGCCATTTATTGCTATTGATTTGATATGATAGTGTTTTTGTGATCTACTTGGCTGTGCTGTGCACATGAAGTTTTGCAACATCGTTGACTCGCCAAGAGTGAGTAGCAGTCACAAAATTTGCGATACCAATTCATTTGCCTAACGAATTAAACATGGCGATGCCATTGGAGCCTATAGAGCGGTACGCGTGGCAATTATCTGGTGCGAAATTGGCAATTACCAATCGCCAGAGAATTGCCTAATAATCGGTAAAGCATGGAATTGTTAGCTTATGGTCGCTTCTTGTCACCAGTAGGATTGCAGCGTAGTGCATTTGTCCATGCATACATATTTCTGCCAATTGGATGCTTCACAGCAAAGTGATAATAAAGTTGTTGTTGCTTTGCTGTCGCTGCGCTGCCGTTGTACTTTCACAAAAGAATTTGCTTGTTTCTGAATTGCTGTTGCTTTGCAGCAAAAGCAAATTAAATGAAAAAATTCCGGCGTTTTGAAACCCTGATTTGGAGTTTCTTATGCGTTGTTTACTTTTACTTGAGAATTGTCAAAAGTGGCAAAATAGCGGTTTGTTCTCTGCATCGTGGTAAAAATGTGCATTAAATAACGAATATGTACTCAGTGATTTCGTGTTTTAAAAACAATTCGACTTAAGTTGTTCTGTTGTGTTTGTAGTTATAGCCCCGCTGTTGTTGTGGTTGTAGTGACTAATAAAAATCCACTTTTAAGGTAGATCAATTGTTTCATCATGTTTCAGTTAAGAGACCGAAACAGAGCCCAAATACTGATGAAGCTAGATATAAAAGGAAAAAATATATGTTTAAAGTTTTGCCTGCATTTTAGGTATTGAAGTGCCTAGAAATATGTAAAATTGAAGTAAAATTTTAAAAGCACACTCCAATTCTTATTTTTGTAACGTGTTTTAGAAGAGAAAGGCATTTTAGCTTGATAATGACAAAAGAAAACTGCTTTTACTTTGTCTACAACCACGGCGGCAAAATCTTAAATTGCATTTAGTTAATTTTTTTTCGCTCGAGCGAAGAGAACGATTATTTGGCTCGAAAATTAAAATAATAGATTTTTATATTTTGCCTTTCCCCAGGTGCAACCGACCGTCCCGGCTGGTCTTATAAATTATTCTTAGATGATTTGCGCAGAGGTTTTCAATTTGGCAAGAAGAAACATTTTAGACAAAAATGTAGATTAAATAAATTAGCCGCCCCTAAAACTTCAAGAAATCCGTTGTCAAGCCCGGAGGAGGATAATGATGATGATGATGATCCCGACTATAAATGAGTGTTTGTCTTATTTAATTTAACGTATGTACATTTAAGCATATAATTAAGTTTGTACTTAAGTAAGGAATGCTGATTAATGTCTAATAAAGTTCAAATTTGAAACATTTTAACAAAAAAGATATTAACCATAACAGATGAAAAATAAAAAGAATGCTTTTATGTAAACATCTTAATACTCAGTTTAAATATTAATTAATTTTTCTTTTTAATATTTGCACCACGAGAATGCACCCGAGCTACATATGTATCGTCACCTTAATTCTCAACGGCCCTAACCAACAAATTTTTAATTTTACAGGAGAAGCAAAAACATAATGAAAAGAGTATCAGACACAGGTGGGACTTTTTAAAAAATAACAAGTAACTCCGTTGTCTTGCTACTACGACCCTAGAATTTTTATTGAAGGTGTGTATTAATACATCCTACCAAAATCTGTGAGAAACGCAATTTCGAAAAAAGTGTTGGTTAGGGCCTTTGTGAATTACAGTAACGGCATGTATCTATAAGTATTCGAGCTCGGGTTATTCGGTTAATCGATTAGTCGAATTATTCGAATGTCACTGAAGTCGACTACAGTTAATCGGTTAACAATATGCGACTAGTCGAAAGCTGTCGGTAATTTTCGGTTAATCGATGATTTTATGTTCAACTATATAAATAGTCTTACTGGAGGGAATAAAATTAAATTCCCTCCCATATTCAATTACTAAATCTTTGTTATCAATGCTAAAGGCTATATTATAAGATACATTTTTTCGAAAGTAACAACGGCTACATCACCCTCTAGTCGCTTCTTCTTGGCCTTGTTAGGTCTATTGTTTGAATTTTCATTGTGGCAAGATTCGGCTAAATGTGTGCTAATTATTGAAAATTTATTGCGAAACATTTTAGAGACACTAGTTAAAGCTTACCTTTCATTTTTGCGATTTTTCTTATGGATTTTTTGTAAATGGTTGTTCCGACAGGTCGTGGAACGTATGTGTGTGCATGTACACATATTTTACATATTTTTGCATTTGTCAAAAAAATAGAAAATTCGGTTACAGAAATTCGACTTGCTACAATACTCGAATAGTCGACACAAAGCAACTATTAGAATAGTCGACGGCGGGCAGCGAATACCACCAACCGATTTATAAGCATGCGAACGGTTACGAATCGAATAATCGGTTAACCGAATAGTCGGATAATTTTACGAGCCTTAATAAGTATATGTATGTATGTATATGAAAGGCGATTAATAGCTTTGCTAGCCATGTGTTAG